CCAACATCTGCTATGTTCTCAAGTTATTTCATTTTCACGATGGATCCAATTTTTCTTTTGACAGGCACAGTTCCTTCATTGGAGAGTTGTAATCCCTGATATTCACAATTTTTTTGAAAGCAAACACGTTTACTGCAGCGGCCTCGTTTTCATTCGGTACTCTTAGCACGTTCCGCACTTCCTGCCAATGGCGTGTTTCCGAACTCCGGGTCGCGTTGAGTATATCCTCTAAAAAACGTTTTCTCCAGAAAAGTACCTTAGCATGGGATTCAGTACCCGTTGGAACTTGTTTGATATGCCTCTTAGCCGTAAAACCCTGTTTTGAAGGAATAAGCACCAGTATTGTTACCATCGACTTTCATAAAATTATTTTGTCGACTAGTCGACTCACCTAATGCCATCTAAGAATTTGTGTACTTCAAGTAAATATTTGGAAACCAAACTGAATCTGTGGTACTAACACTAACAGCCAGCGCTATGTTATCCACTAATTTATTCATTTTAAAAATCTAATAACAATTTAGGCAGTTTTTTTTTTAAATAAGCTTCGAAATAAAGGCTACTTTTAGTGACCCGCAACGTTTCGCAGTCAAAATTGCAGGAAAAAAATAAAACAATTCTCTGAAAATTTCACAAGCTTTTCTATGTGTCTGTCCTTTGACACTTTCTCGATTGTTGTTTCGACCTTTGGTAATACATGGATCCGGACTCGTTTTTTTTTTCAATTTAACCGGATATATGGCTCGTGGAGCTGTTTTCCGACTTTGCACTTCATAAGTGCACCTTTCTTTTCAAAGAAGTTTTGAAATCTATCAAGGAACACCTATTGTACTCACGTTACATTGTGATTTTGGACCTCCAGAAGACGCTCGTTTCCACGAACTTTGTTTACTGTCCGTGACAATTGTGTTTGCCTCACTTCAACAAAAAGCAGCGGTTAGAAATTGGTCCCGATAAAATATTTTTGTCCGCCTTCGGTAACAAACAATTCGGCTCCCTTGGCAAACCAGGCAAACACTCCGAACTCTTCTTTCTCTTGATTTGCTTTGAGCTTGCGTATCACAATCGTTTCGAAATGAATAAACTCAAGTGAGCCCTCAACTTGTAAATACCTGCTTTTTTACAAGATTTCGCGAAGTGACCACGGCCACTACGGTTTTTACAACCTATGTTTTTGCCGGGCAGTTCTTTTTTTGGTTTGGCTTCAGCCAATATGCGCAGTTACGGTATTTGTTCTCTCTTTGACCTTTCATGTCATTTACTAATTCCCTTTTATCATAGACAGTCTGCTGACCACCCGGGGAGTTCTGCCATCCTTGGTTAAACTTGTTCCTAGTCAGCTTAGGTAGCCCACGGTTTACTCGTTTGCATAGCTTTGCACTTCTCTCCCCCACTACCGCGAAATAAAGGGCGTCTGTCGGACTTAACGTTTCCATACACAGCTGTTTGCGGATATCTTCGCTTCTCAAATCTAAAATTAACGCGTCTCGTTTTATTGATCCTTACTTCATTTCAAAGTCGTGCGCCCTTGGTCAGGTCGCTCACTGCCCCGAGAATAGTTTCATAACCTCCTTTTCTCGTTGTTTCCTGCCAAATAGTAGAAGCCTGCGGTTGTTGACTTTCAGTTCCCGTTGAAAAGCGTCCATTGCTAATTTCAACAGCTCCGGAAAAATTTTATCCAACCATACTTTTAACCTTGTTTCATAAGGATAGGAATTTTTTCGATTTTAGCTTTTTGTCTGCTTCCCCCGGTTGCTTTCTGGAAAAAATACGCTTTTCTTCACCTGTCCACGTTTGGACTGCCGTATTGTTACGACCTACTCTTTCATTCCGTGCTCTTTTGTGGTCCGTTCCTACTGGTTCTTCTAGGGTTGGAATTGCGTTATCAGGTTAAGTATTATCTTCCAATAGATCCCCTATATCTGTTTCATCCTTAGCTATTACAACCAATTGGAATTTTTGTACTCATTTTTCCCAGGGTACTGTAGGTTCTTGAAAGGGGCTGTGCCAGAATACGTTTAAGCTGCGGTAGCTCGATTCTGTTTGTGACTGCGCCAGGTGTGGAAGTAATCTCGTTGGTCAAGTAAAAATATAGGTGTTGAATCGAAACGTACGAGAATCAACTTGAAATCAATTTTAAACCGGCGCCACTGGCGATAAATGAACCAAACGCTAACTGTAGCAAACACGTTGGTAAATGTACCTAGTTAGGTAATACCACAAAATAGATGTGTTTAACATAGGCTCACCACAGGGGCATATAGTTAAAGAAATCCATGAAAAGACCAAAGTATTAATTGTAAGTCTTTGAACCTTAGTTTCGATTTAAAAAAAAAACAATAAATTATTAGCAAGAACTTGGAACAACAAAACCTGTAATGTTCTTTATTTTCAACTTGATAAAATTTCTTGATTAGTTGCGCATCAACCCACACTCCCAAAACAATTTATGGAGGAGACAATACAAATTTTTCGCAAGAAAACTCAGAATGAATTTGTATCACCTAAATACCAGATTTAATTATCAAAACTTAATTAAAATATCAATTTAATTAAATTTGTAGCCTATTAAAATACCATTTGTACAAAAAGTTTAAAATATTCACATTTTTCGAGTCGGTATGAATTGCAAATTTCATACAGAACTAATTTTCATTTTTCATACATGCTTGTGGAGGACATTCTACGATAGGTCACTTTTGGGGGAATGGGGTCGAGATTGATTACTTATTTCACCTAAAAATCAATATTTCAAAACCTTGAAAAGCAAATTTTTTGGTTCAATCTCATTGTCTAGAGTTAGCCCATCAAATTTCAGTGCCGTCTCGAACAACTTTGTTCAGCGAATGGTCGGCGAAATAATTGTGGCTTACCTAAAAGAGTTGTGAATTAATTTTTCGGATTTGAGTTTTTTTGGTTGATTTTTGGAACTGAAATCGGTCGGCTTTTATTCTGCCGGCTTTTTTTCCTAATGTTTTTATTCTAACAATTTTTTTTTTCACCAATTGAGCTTGGCATAGTTTTTGAAATCACTCAATCGCCTTTTTAAGCCTTTATTAATAAAACTAGAGAAGACAAACATGAACAATTATCAAGTTTTTGATAAGCTTTGTATGAAAATTTGGTTTTCAGCCGGCAACGCAGCTGTTCTAGAGGTATTGAATTAATATTGAGTGTACAGCTGAAAAAATTTCCAGTTATAAATTGATTTTTTGTCGGCTTTTTTCGATTTCGTACCAATTTCTGTCGGCTTACTTGTCGGTTGCTTTAATTCGTTTTTCTGTCAATTTTTTTCAGTTTTTGTTTTTCATGTTCCTGATATTCCTGATGGCATTATTTTGCATGTTTTTTTTTTCTTATTTTTCTATACTTCAAAACTTTCTGTTAGAAAAGAAAAAACTGAAACTAAAAAAACATTGCAAAAAAACTTAAGATTTTTTCGGATGCTTGGTTTTTGATTTTTTGAAGCAAAAAAACTGCGTGGAATTACTTTCAGTTTTTATCTGTTTATTGCTTTTTATAGGACTGATCAATTTTATTTGAAATCAATTCAATCTGATAGCACAGCTAATTGTTTTAACATGTGAAAATTAATTCAAAAAAGTTCATAAATTTCCGGAGTTTTTTTTTTGCTTTTTTGACTTGACTGTTTGTCTTTGAAGATATGTGGCATGATGTGATGAGATTCAGGAGTGCGGTGTTTTCCAGCTGAAAATTCTGAATTTTTTTGTTGCATTTTTTCACTGCTCTTTATAAGTTTACATTTTTGTTGTGATCCACCAGCTCTCTTAACGTTGCGTGTTAATTTCATATTCGACTAGTTTGATGTACTTGGATTATTTATAAGCTTTCAGAGTTGTTTCAGACTTTTTGCTAGTTTTGAAACTTACGCTGAAACCTAACTTATGCTTTCGTTTTTTTGTACTTTTTTCAACGTTTTTATGCACATTAAGAATTTTTGGATATCAAATTTTTTGTCGAAAACTTTCTTATTGTTTCCATGTATTGGTTAAGAGAAAGCCATGAACAGAGTTTGTGTTGCCTGAATACTTCCTATGTTGTAGATAAGTATTATTTTTAAAGCAATTGCGCTAAATTTTTTTTGATTTTTTCAGCTCCCGATTTCTTTAACAGAATTCACTCAAGTTTTTCACTTTGTTTCAGACACGTTTATCTCAATATTTTTCATTTTTAATTATCACAAGTGGTGCGAAGCTCAGCCTGACCTCGTTGTTATGTTTTTTAATTTATTCTTGCTTTCTCTAATTTTTCTAAACTCGATTTGGTATATTTTCTTTTTTGATTTTTCTCGCTTAAAAAATCATTCAGCCTAAATGATTTCTGTTTATATTTTATCGGCTTAATCACCTTATTTTGGGTCCTTCGAGGGAACCATTATTTGTATGCATTCCACCGGATTGCACAAAACGTTAAAAATCTCAGAATAGAACTTATAGTTCAAAGTTTTTCATGAGAACAATTTTATTTTTGCTGAAAAATTGTTTTTGAATATTCATTAAACGACGTAAGTTGTGTTTCTAGACGTGTTTTCCGCAAAGAGAACATGAGTTCAGACAACATTTCGAAGTTTTTTCAGTCGTGGTTTCTTCGAAAAGTTTTCCGATTTCTTTAGACTTAGCGGCTTTCTTTTCCTCTTTTTCTTTCCTGTTTGCTAGCTTGCAATACTTTTTTTGTGGTATTGCAAGTGTTGCACACGAAATCACAGAAGAACTGGCTGAACAGAAAAAGAACAGATGAAGGAAAAAACTGACCATACCTTCATATCTGCTCAAAACTCGGCCTCGTTATAAATCAGCTGAAGTTCTCACAATTGTATAAACCAAACAATTCAGTGCGATCAGTGTTTTGCTCTCTGCATTTATACACTGAATAATACAAAATTGCAAAATAAAGAAACTTGGGCGGTTTCTAATAAAAAATAAAAAAAGTAAAAAATATCCAAAATTTTGTTCTCTAATCCGGGCTCTAAACAATTTTTCAGATTTGTCTTGTTCTTATCAGTGGAATCCCTCATATGCGAAGGACCGAATGCGCGAAAATAAAAATCAGCCAATCAGATTTCGGCGAATCTAAAGTTTGGAAAGAAAGTAAATATTTCCAGGGACTGAATATTGATATTGACCGTATCCAAAAACGGTAGAAATGTGTAAAATTTTCAAATTGTCACTGAGCGCCGCCGAATTGGAACAAGTTTTATAATTCAAGGGTTTTGTTATGAAAGAAGCAAAATATTGCTTCATTTAATTCATTTCAATTGAATGGAAAATGCTTCTTTTTAAAAATTGACTTTCGGCTAATTTTATTTTCGGCCCTTCACTCACGACTTTTTTTCGCCCATTCGGTCCTTCGCGCATGAGAATAGCCCCCGTTCTTATCGACACTTCAGTTGAAACAGTTTCGAAATGGCCAACGCAGTCGTGAATAATGATAGTGTGCAAGAGGACATGCAGCAGCTGGACATAATGAAGAACGCCTTGATTGACGCCCCAGTGGATTTGGCTCTCTTCGGGTTAGTTATTATCTAAATAAAAACAACCACAAAACAAACAATCCCCTTCCATCAAAATAGGGTTTAAGGAAAGGGGAGCCCCCACAGGGGGTCAAACATGGTCACTCAATTACTCAAAAGAGTAAGTCGGCGCCAATATACACTAAATTTGACAGGGGAGCTCGCGATGAAGCAACGAAATTTTTTGTGAAAACCTTCCCCTTTCCTCAAAAAAGTTCTATAAATCTTTTGTCCTCTCTCTCTCTCTCTCTCTCTCCACTAACACCACTTCTTTTCCTCTTCGGTGCAAAACTTGTACTCTTTCAGTTTCGGAGTGAGTTTTTTGTTTCTGGAGTGAACTTGGCCTTAGGAGGACAAGCCTTAAACTGTTGTTCTAGACGCCGGGGCTAATGAAAAAGAGACGGGTATGATCCAGCCAGTGAACCTAATAGGCAATTATGAGGGACAGTAAAGCAAACGAAGCAGAAGCAAGGTGACCAATTAGAAGAAACTAATTAGCCGAATAACGAAACACTATTTACTATAGCATTTTTTTTTCGATTTGAGGACAAGCAAGTTGAGAACTAATTGATCGTTTCCTGCCGAAATGTCTTCAATTTGATTGTTTAGCTCGTTATTAAGTTCACTGTTTAGATCAGACATATCTCCTTGTCATTCACCGACGCCGGGAAACCTTTATTGATAGATCAAAAAGTGAATGACTAGGAGACGGGTCTGACCTAGACAGTGAAGTAATTAACGATCAAAACAAATAAAATGAAAACTTTTTGGCGGGTAATTGAACGAAGTAGGCAATAAAAGAATAATTTTTCCACAACTTGTTTAACATCAAAACGAACTAAAATAAGAATATTTGCTATTAGACACAAGGATTCAATATTCGGCTAGAAAATTTCCTCTAATTGGGTGCTTTGCCTATGCTTTGTTTGCCTTACTGTTTCTCATAATCGCCTGTGGTGGCGTCCCTCGTGATTAAGGGACCGAATGTTGAATTGTTTTCCAGTTAATTTTAGCTAAACATAATTGAGTTTTCTCACAGAATTCTTAATGAAAATCCCAGCCATTTAAATTAATTTTGATCGATTAGAAAATAAGCAGATGATTAAATTTCCAAATATTGCGAGATCAAAGTCGGTAATTGGAAAACAAAAATTTAAGGACTTTAGAAAAAAAAATTCCAAATTAAAACAAAAATTTTATTGTAGACTGCGCAATTGTTTTACAGCAAAACTTTGCTGTGCTGTCATAATTGTTGCTTAGGAAAATAGACGACAAGCAAATAAGACGATCCGAAAATAACGGAATTTAGACAATAACTTTCGTGCAAATTGCGAGAAAATTGTTTATTACAGACTTAGATTAATTTTTGGCTGAGTAAATACTGGTTGTCCAACTAGATTGAAATCAGGTTTAATGATGTCACAGTTTTATAATCTATGCGATTCAAAAATGAAATCTACTTTTTCAGTTTAATGTTTTATAATTAACTAACACCGGTAATTATGATCAGTTCTGTGATCATCGACTCTTTTTGTTTTTGTGCAACTTCAAATTGAAAAATTAGTTTTGTTGGCCCAGTTCTTGTCGTCTAAACTTACAAAAAGTTATACTCTAAAATCCGTTTCTTTACGGGCGTCTAATTTGCTCGTGGTCTAACTTCCTAGGCCCCGTAGTATTCAGATTCTGGTAATAATGACATCGGTTTTGTGCAAAAATCTTCTAGCCAATAGGATCACGTAACGATTGTACCTGGTTAAAGTTTTCCATCGTTCGGTCCCTCCATCATGTGAATACCCACCAAAGCCTATTAAGTTCACTTTCTGGATCAGACCCGACTGCTTGTCAATCACCAATTCTCGACTTCATCGCGCTCTTGTTTCTAAACACCCCTAACATGTTCCAATGTGAATTCTCAAAAGATCCTTCAAGTATTTCTTTCATAAATTTTCAATCATTACGGGATGATGATTTGAAAAACCGAAGAACTGACATGCCTGGAAAAATGAAAGGAAGGAACCAGCTCGGTGTATTCGGTACGTTGTGTGTTTCTATTTTAGCCAGTCCATGGCTCGACTGTACAATGATTTGCAAGTTACAGGACAGGACGCCGCAACCACCGAGTTCATCCAAGTTCGTGACTCGACGAGAAAACAAGCAATGACGTACATGAGACAAGTGCTGCCTCAGACAGAAAAGACTGTCAAGATGATTGCTACTTACATGGACTCCTACTGCGACATGGGATCCTTCGAGAACTGGCAAGAATGTCTGGACGACATAATGAGTGAGCTCCGAGAAGCACAAACTGCTTGTGAGTTTCTGCGACACATGCATAACGCGATTATAGTGGAGCTCAGAAAGAACGAGGCCAGAGCTTCGGTCGGCGTCGCCCAGTTGGAGACGATGCGCCAGAACTACGAACAAGAAAGAGCTACTCTGCGAAACTGTGCTCAGGAAGCGCGCATGAGTGCTGACAATGCCAGGTTTTGGGGAAGAGTGCTGGCTCCTATAACTCTAGGCCTTTCAGCTATCATTGCAGAAAGCTATGCTCGCGAGCACAACCGCAACGAACAAGTTAGCACATCTCGTGCAGTAGCGCGTCAACAAAACGCCAGTATAGCTCAAAAAGCGTCGGAGCTTACGACTACAGAGTTGATTCCGGCCATTCAAAATTTCATCAAATGCCTCGATGCCTGTCTGACATTTGTCAACATGTCAAAGGCAAAACTGGAAAGAATGATTGCAGCTGGGGATAATGGCCCAAAGCGCAGGTACTACTTTGCTATGAATGAACGGGCGAGAGAAATCAGCGGTCTGTGTGACTACTTCGTCAGTGTCACTGATCGAATGCGCTCAAGTCTGAACGCAATCCCAGAAAATCCGGCGGATAAAAACTACGTGGACCAATGGCTAGAAAATCAAATTCGGCAATTTGAACAAGCCGAGAGAGCACGCGGATTGAACCCCATGGAGTCGCTTAGCAGGTTCTTCGGTTCTGGTCCACGAGGGAAAGCCACCGGCCAGATATCGCCGGTTGGGCGACAGTTCGTACCAAGCGACCAGTTGTAAAAGGTGACCATTCATTCGTACTCAACCTAAAGAAGACGATTTGTAACCGCATGCGAAAATTATAATCAAACCAAAATCCATAACTCAAATATTCTATGTAAAACTTTCAGTTAAAATCAAAACTCTGCAGAGTATTAATCATCATCATCAATGGAGTCGTTTTCACACCCTTTTCGTGTATTCTTATGGTTGTTCAGGTAACTTCTACAAATTCCAGATAATTGAAAAAATGAGTTTACTCACACTTAGATGTTCCCATGGTTTTCCACTCTAATGCAAAGTCTGTTCTCGACCAAACTTTTTTCCCATTGGAAAAATTCGATAAAATTTGCGACTACTGCTTTTAACCTGTTTATTACCCTTGCGATAAGCAAGGGCATTGCAATCGTGTACTAGATATTTTCCCCGTAAATAACTTTCACATAATAGTCAAATGGTAATCAGTATGTTTTATACCCGTTGCATGGTCAGTTACCACTGCATGGCTTTTGCCTTGTGTTCAAGTTAGTTGTGGCCTATTATTTTTTATTTAATTTGAAATTTTTTGGCACCGAGGTCGTTCGGCTTTATTTCTGTCGGCTGATTTCATAATGTTTTTATTGTATTTGTTTGATTGGTTTTATAACGATTGAGCTCTAACAAAAAAAAAATTGAAAAAGTAAAACATCCTCTAAAGCCCTCCGCCATACAAATGGAAAATTTAAACATGTATAGTTGTGGTTCGAATTCAGTCGGAACCTGCTTTTTGCAGACTAGAATTTTTCAACTTTTTCGGGCAATCGTCCACCACTTGGTTTTTTGGCTAAGTTGCCGTTGCACGGACTCTTTTTAAAGATTCAGTTTTCTTCTAACTTTCTGAAGGCCATCAGTGGAATTAAATGAGTTACAAAATTTTTTCGAAAATGTTCTTGCATTTTTTGAAAAAATTTTAATAGAAGTTTCACATATGAAGTTTTTTTTAATTTTTCATCCAAAAAGTTATCTATTGCGATTATCGAGCGTAAAACTTTTACTCATGCAATTATAATTTTCGCAATTACATTATTGGGTTGTTACCGCTAGGTAATTTTTGTTGCGATGCAAATTCAACGTTCAGTTGTTTTATTTGGCGTTTTGTTTTTGTTTAAAATTATTTTTATTCCAGAAAAATTGATGCAAAGCTATAAAACTGTGGCTTTCATGGAACAAACATATGAAATTTTTAACTGAGCGGCTTTCATCTCAAATTATGTCTGCTAGTTTGTGCTATGTTTTTGTCGTATTACAAGTTGTCTTTTTCATGCTTTTCAACTTAAACTCTGTCGTCTAGTTTCCGAATTGGGTCTTGCATTAACTTCAAAAAAGCACTCGTAGAAGATATATACGCAGTACATTTTGGTTAATTTTCTGTTCATTTGCTGTCGGTTTTAGTTTTGTTTGTGGGCTTTACCAATATTTTTATTTCCAACGATTTTTCGGTTTTATTTCAAAGATCGATAAGACCTTGGCTCCGTATTTTCGAGTGCTCAAAATAAATTAAATTGAAAAAAAATTAAGTGAGGTTATTAAAAAAAAAACTACTTTTTCATCTTTTCAAGTTTTTCATTTTTCATGTTCCTTTTTCAATTTTTTCTTCGCTCGAAGTCTTCTTTGCTACTTCCTCAGCGTCATGCTGTTTTAATCCCATTCTTGTTGTATCGCAAGTGGTGCGAAACTTAGCTTCGCCTCTGTGTCATAGCCTGTTTATAACTTGTGCATAACCGTTCCTGTTTGATGTGTCTATCGCAGCAGTTGGGCTGGTTTTTTAAGATATGCGATAATTTGTTAACATATCCTTTAGTTTTGAAATTTATCAAGCGAAATTGTAACATGTCGCAAATTTTATTTCGATTAATCTCTAGGTCACTATCTGGTGACCGAATGTTCCTTTTGGTGTCCGCTTTGGTTCAACGTTTACTGTAGCTGTGATGCATTAGTGGGAATGTGCTTAGATCAAGTTCGAGAAATTAACTCTTTCTTTCTTTCTTTTATGACTAGCCAATTGTATGCAGCTCGTCACAATTTGAAAATAAAAGTTTTCTTTTGACGTTTTTTCTGGCGCATAAAATCGTATAACTGCATAGTTCGCTACATTTTACAAAAAAAATTCCATAAAAATGGACAGAAGCGAAGCTGCAACTTCGTAAACGCCAGCAAAAAATAACGCCAAAAAGTAGCTCTAAAAAAATCTGCTATATGTCAGAATTGAAACCCCGACCTAGAGATGCAGTCACACGTCCTAGCATCTGGATCATGGGCGTTTTTCAAAATTGGTCTGGGGAGAATGGATGGCATCACTCTCCCGATCAGACGTAATACCCAAAGTAGAAAGAAGAAATAGAGCCCGGGGCTAACTTTATATTAATAAATCAGATACTAAAATACAATGCTATACAGCAAAACTAAACCAAATATAAAGTTATAACTGCCAAACGCCACCAAAATTGATTTGCGAATTAAATTTTCGTCTGATGTTTTATCTTTTCTTTTTTCTCTCAGCCCGTTTCTTAACAGCGCTTTATTACTAAGGGTTTTGTAATTGGTTATAATATCGGCTTTTTAAAAAAAACATTGTCACGTGCTGTTAAAATTGTAAAAATTCTACTCAATTTATTAAACAGTCTACTTCTATAAACTTCAAAAAATGTGCCTCTTCTTTCAAAAACAAATAAGACTGCTTGTACCAAGATGAAAGTCTTAGTGTTCCCACTCCGCTTAATTCGTCAGAGGTTGTATTTGATATCTGTGTACTATCTTTTTTGTTTTTCTTCAGATCTAAAGCTCCAAAAAAATAGAGAAGGAATGCTGTTTAGTTGAAAACCAGAGACACTTCTTCAACCTTGACTATAAAATAATGTTCATTAAACTTTGCCCACTACATAACTTGTAAATGGGACTTTGTTGATTCAATTCCTAAATATGTGTAAGTCATTATTCCTTCTTTTTTATCCTGAAGCACACTATCAAAATATCAATTTCTTTTTATGCTGCAAATCAGCCTACAATTGCAAAGATGAATAATTTTTCACTTTTGCAAATTATTGAAAGAATTCCAGAGCTCAGGTTCAAGTACACCTGATCATACCCTTCTGATACAGTACCTCAACTAACAAAATACTCTTTTGCAGTTTTCAACTCAGCCCCAAGCAATAATAGAGGAGAACATTGGATCATGATTGCTCTACTGAATAAAAGCTACTATTTGCTAATTCTTTGGGAAGAAAGAGATCATCTTACCACTTTTTGCCAAAAAAGTATCGACGAATGGTTCCTCGAAAGCTACAAAAGACTGATAATTTGTGTGAATTTTACGCAATTTATTCATAATTTCTTCTTTTTAAATTCTTCCAGAAGAACTTGAAAAATGTTCATGATGTGCATGTTTTGAATTTTATGTAAAAGTGCATTTTTTATTTGTACATGTAAATTTTTGCAGAAATTTTACTATACGATGTAGTGAAGTGTTTGATTATTTAATGTAAAATAACTCTTTAAAATTATTCTGGCCTTAAAATTATAACTTAAAAAAACAGGAAACAGAATCGGTCTAATTCAAGAGAATCAATAAACGGCGAATTGTAGTAATTTTTTATTGCACGGAATTAGCAACAACATTACACTTATGAAGTTAAAAAGTGGGCTTGTTCTTGCCCTGATTTGTGTGATTTATGTGTTTTTTCACAATGAGTTCATACTTAGTTCACGCAGTTTAATTAACAGAAACTCAATTGCAAACCAATTTTAAACCAATTAAAATATTAGCATTTTATGTTCTGTCAGGTTCGGCTCAAATAGGATTCTCAAATGAAACGACTTAGGTGAGAATCGAACCCACGCCGAACTCCCCCGGAACGCACTATGAATACGCTGAGCTATATAGCTGATTTTGATAAGCAACTGGCTTTAAACTATACTTTCATACTTAAATGCTATGTAGCATTAACATCCTCCACCCCCGAAGGAGCGAGAACCGGAACGAGCTTAACAAGCGGCCGAGTGTAGTTTCCGGAAACGGTCTTTAGGTTTGCGGAGCGGGCCGTGTTGTCTTTGCCGTAGTTTAGCGACATTATGCGTGCTAGTGGGTAGTGGCGCCTAGGGCTAGTGGATTCAACTAACCACACCATATCTCCCGTTTTCAAAGAGTATTCGGGAGGAGCATGCCACTTAACTCTTTTATTGAGTGTAGGGACGTACTCACTTAACCATCGCTGCCAAATTGCGTTTGCGTACGACTGCGCAAGCGCATAGCGTTTAGAGTGAGAATAATTTTCACTCGACCTTAGAGACGGTAACGTTAGACTGTGCTGACCTAAGAGGAAATGATTCGGCGTCAAAGCCTCAAGACTATCGGGGTCGTCAGAAACAGGAGTGAGTGGACGGGCGTTTAGTGAACCTTCAACTAGGCACATGGTTGTGTTCAAAATCTCGTCAGTCAACTTTCTTAACCCTAAGATTGCATAAAACACACGCTTACAACTGCGCACCATTCGCTCCCATGCTCCACCTTGATGTGGTGCACTTGGCGGATTATACTTCCACTTAATGCCTTTGTGTACGAGCGACAGTGGAGCTTCTGCGTTCCAATTTTTGATGCACAAAAGAAGCTCTTTTTTGGCTCCTACAAAGTTTGTTCCGTTGTCCGACCAAATTATTGAGGGTGTTCCTCGCCTAGAAATAAAGCGCTCGATAGCCATCACACATGAACTTGTGTCCATGGATGGAACCAACTCAATGTGAATTGCGCGAGTCGTTAAGCAGGTAAATAGAAAACCCCAGCGTTTCTCGGAAGATCGACGAATGGTTACATGAAATGGTCCAAAATAATCGACGCCGCAGTTCGAGAACGGTGGCTGGCGGTAACCTAGACGTTCCGCGGGAAGGTCAGACATCATTGGAGTAACGGTTTTTGCTTTTCGCTTTTTACAGCACACGCAATGTGTTTCAATAGCTCTTAGTGCAGATCTTAAGCGTAGTACAACAAATTGCTGATGAATGACAGAACGAAGGTAGTCGACTGATTGATGTTCGTGCTTAATGTGATAAAAACGGAGAAACAATCGGGTTAGGCGATGGCGGCTATCCAAAACTATTGGATGGCGAGTTTCGAATGCGGTTGCAGAGAGACGTTGGATACGGCCGGTAGATCTAACTAAACCGTTCGGCCCGATAAAAGGTGAATACGATGATATACGGCTCGATGTTTTCACATATTTTCCTGCTGATAATTGTTTA